CGATTATTAGAAGAAAAAAAAAGGAAGAAGACTTAGCTGGTCACAATGGACTATTACACATTTATCTTCTTTACAAAACAGACCAAAATGGATCAATTTCCTTGTATGAAAACCCAGGTGTTGCTTATAAGAACCATACAAATTTACAGATCCAACTACAAATAACTGAAACCTATTTTTTTTAATTGCTATATGCAAATTTATCTTCCTCATTCAAATAAATGCTACAAAACCCCATCTGTTGTGCATAATAGCCGATGTACAACTAGCTGTTCTACTGCTTATCCAACAATAAGCAAAGGAAGTACACCAGTTGTCTTAGGCATGTCTCAGAAAATGATAAATTAGGTTACTGGGGTACTTGTAGATCTAAAGCAGAGAACAACAGACTTTTCCTATGGAAACTGGATATTCCTCTAGCTAAGATTATAAACCCTAAATCAGGACAGGGTATTATTGACTAACAACAAATCCATTCAGTACCTAACCCTTGCCCTCACTAGCTGGAAGTGCTTGGCTAATGGTGATGCTGTATTTGGCTCGAAAGAAGAAAAACGCAGTACTCAACAAATAAACCTCAAAAGGTTTATTGAGGTGATAATGTATTGATGGCAGGAAAAAGAATAAACAGCATCACACTGGCATTTCAAGGCCATATAGCACCAGTTTTTCAAGGTGACATGTACCTTTAGAAAAGGGTCCCACATGGCCTTGAAATGTTGGGGCATTTTTTCCCCCTATACGTTGCCTGCCATAAATGCATTGTCACTGTATTGAATCTTTGAGTGTTATTGGCCAAGTGCTGAATTTTCTTGTTTGGAGGTTATTACAGATAACACACACATCTGTTTAATCCAAGGTTATCGAAACAGATTTTCTCATCAGGTTCAAAGTAAGGATGACACTTTTTAGCCTTCTCTTTTGCATGAAGAACGTAACCAAGTAGCAAAACTGTATCCATTCCACAAACAAGTTAACCACATTTTTCTCCATTCTGAATGTAATAAGATTACAAGTTTCATGGCCTACAGATCAAATTAAAGCTTGGTTCACACTACTGAAACCTGAAAGTCACGCGACTTCAGGAGACTTCCTGCCAATTTGCCGGCAACTTTGATGCGACTTGATGCAGGACTTCCATGCCATACACCTTTGCCTGGGTAATCTTCCCTCAACATTGGATCCAAATCACATCAATAAAGATGGGGATCCAACTTGGAGGCGACTTCCAAGTAAATGGGCACAAGTCAGAAAGAAGTTGCCTTGAAGTACAGGAACCTTTTTTAAAGTTGAAACGACTTCATTAGTGCTAATCAAGATGGCTCTCATTGACCAATATGGGATTTCACATATAATGGGTCTCACAAGTTGGATCCCAAGTCGCAGCAGTGTGAACCAAGCCTAAATCCTCTCTGCCAGTAGCTTATCTGACAGTATTGGCTTGTTCACACCATATCCACTGAGCTGCGTTTGTCTGCGCACAACCACAAAGATACGGTATTAACAGGACAGAAAAAAAAATTTTTTTTTTGCATCCCATGTTTACACCATATATTTGTGATGTACAAACGCATCTTAACAGACATGGTGTGTACAAGCCCTACAAGTGTACCCTCAGTCCAAAGCCATATGGGTTTTCCTACACAACAATATAGTCATGAAAGGCCACAGTATTATATAGCAAAGGGTCTTTGGCATGACCAATCAACAGAAGAGAATTGAGCTGATCCTTTTCAACAATGGATAGAAAAAGTAAACAGTTGTAGATATTTAGCAGTCTAAAAACAGCAGCCTAATTTTATGTAGAACTAAATTTGAAATCATGAAAAAACATGACTAAGGGAAGTGTGTGAATGTACCCATTGTGTAGTCAATAGCAGAGCCACTATGATCGGTTACCTCTTCATAGTCTGCTACTAGAGGACGGCTGCAGGGACTGATTAAGCTGTGATTAGACAAAGCACTTGGTCTGCTATGTGCTGCTTAGCTTTCAGCTGCTATGAATTAGTGTACCTGGTGCAGGAGCAGATTGGCAAGATTTCATCTTGCCTGTGCCTCACCCCACCGCAGTTATATGTGCAAATATTGCACCAAGCCAAGAACAAAACAGGAAATAGACATGAAAAAAATAAATCTGATACATGGCCCCACTTGACTTCCCAGCATTGCACTTTTTTCCCTTTCATACAACATGAGCCCGGAAAACTGAACCTAACAAACAGCAGCTGGGAAGATACTGCTCATAAAGTGCTGCTACTGCATGACTGTCAGAAAATGTCGGCTTCTGAATTCAGGATTAGAATAATCAAGCCGGGTAGGAAAGTGTCAGCACAGCCTGGGTAAGTCGCCCAATTTGGTAAAGTCCCTTGTCTTCCAGTTTAGCAGCAGAGCCTACTAGGACCCACAGGTCTTGGATATGTCAGTTCTGCACCATACATGCCGAGGGTTCCCCATCAACTATAATTACACCAAACACTAGTGTGTTACTGCCCAAGATGTCATCCATTGTGGTCTAAAGGTTTGATCTCAGATAAATGTTTAAATACAAGAAGCATTAAACATCACAGACAATACTGATCAAAACAGAAGGTGCTGGCTCCATTGCAGTTAAGGAACATACACCAGGCCATAAAGTGCTTATTATGCATACCACATGGTTTTTGCTGTGCACCCGCTGGGCTGGAACTCGTATAGTGTTGGAAAATGAGGCATTGCACACAAGTCCCCCCCCAAAAAAAAAAAAAAAAAAAAAAAAAACCCCTGACATGGGCTGGATTATAAGGTGTGTGTTTGGGGGGGGGGGGGGGGGGGGGGGCCCCCATCAGGGGTTCTCAAACTTCCACTTTGCAATTGTGGAAGCTGGTGTCAATCGTTCACACCCAGTTTTACAATTCCTCCAAACTCTACACCTTGACAGAAGTAGAACAGTTTGAGGGAACTAGCCCGGAAATAACCCACTGCCATTCTATATCCTAGAGGGCATACATGCTTCAAATTACAAGTGACTTCTGCTGAATCAACCACATTTAGCTCTGTGGGTGGCCCTTTAGCCATCACTTAGATTGACAATTTTTCAATCACCTGTTGTCAAAAGAACCAACTGGAAGCTTGTCAGCCAAACCACGCCTGCATCCAATCAAATCCAGGCACTGTTCTGGTATTCTGCGCAGGTTAGCACAAATGAAGGAATCTTAGATTTCTTTTGTTCAGTCTGCAGGCTGACTGAAAGAAATCTATATATGTATGACCAGCTTAACACATGCATTCCCACAGCGCAGAACCTCCAGAAGAACTGACCCTTGAACAGCACAGAAAGCTTTAAAATATGCCTTTCAAATAATACATACATCACATACACACTATGCAGTACTATAAACACATCCATCCATGTGGCAAAAGTCAGTCACAGCACATAATACCCATAACAGTGCATGTGACAGATAATCTTCTGAAATCATAGATATGCATGGTTTTCCCTTCTAGGTCACAAAATCCTTTTACTCCCTGCGAAAAGGGGGGGGGGGGGAATGGCGCTGGAGGAGTTTGAACTGCACATCTCTGGCAGTTCTGGAGGTGCAAGGTCTCTAAGGTGCCATCAGAATGCTGTCATTAGCTAAAGGTTTTCCTGACATCAGTATGTTCTTGTATGTATAGAGGTGCATGGTCTGTAGGACCCCATCAAGATGCGGGCATTGTCCAAGGTATTAATGACATCAGTATTTCCTTGTAAGTATGGAGGTTCAGTCTATGACCCCATCAAGATGTGGTCATTGTCAAAGTTATTCCTTACATCAATAAAATCGAAGTGCATGGTCTCTAGAAAGCCATCAGGATGTGGTCATCAGCATGTCCCATAGATGCTTACATTTTCTATGGTCTTCCTAAGGTCACTATGATTAAGGGATGTGGTCATTATCTTATGGTCCTAACATCAGTATGTTCCAGAGGTTCTGTCATTATCTAGTCTTCCTAACATCATTATGATTCAGGGATATGGTTATTATCTTATGGTCCTCCTAACATCAGTATGTTCTAGTCCTGTCATTATCTATAGTCTTCCTAACATCACTGATTCAGGGATATGGTCATTGTCTTATGGTCCTCCTAACATCAGTATGTTCCAGAGGTTCTGCCATTATCTATTGTCTTCCTAACATCACTATGCTTCAGGGATATGGTCATGTCTATAGCCTTCTGAACATCAATATATTCTTGGGGTTTTGTCATTTTCTACGGTCTTCCTAACATCAGTATGTCCCAGGGATACGGTCATTGTCTATATAGCCTTCCCAATATGGACATGTCCCAGTGATGTGGTCATGGTCCAATGCTTTCTTGATGTCAGTATGAAGGTGCACGGTCTCTAGAATGCCATTAGGTAGGATTGTGTTGTTCCTGACAGAGTATGTCCCAGGGATGATGTCATTAACGCCTTTGTGATATCTCTATACCCCAGGGATGGTGTCATTGTCTATGGTCCTGCTGACATGGAGTATGTCCTGGGGATGGTGTTATTGTCCATGGTCCTCCACAAATGAAGAATATCTAAGGATGTGGTCACTGTCCATGCCCCAGGGATGGTGGTATTGTCCATGGATCATGTCTGCAGAATGATGTCCTTGTCCTCGTGCCATGGAAGATGTCCCCAGGGATGGTGTCCTTGTTCTCCACACATGGAGGATGTCCCCAGGGATGGTGTCCTTGTTCTCCACACATGGAGGATGTCCCCAGGGATGGTGTCCTTGTTCTCCACACATGGAGGATGTCCCCAGGGATGGTACCCCCCATTCCCCCTTCCTCATACAGTCTCAGGCACCCTACACTCCTGGAAGCCATTGCTGATGTGTCCGTTCTCCTGGTTGCTGTCTATGGAGGACTCACTGCCCGTACTCTCCCCGGACAGCAGTCTGGTGACCCTGAGATCGGCTTTGAGGGTCTGCAGGTCATTGCCCAGACTGAGCTCCCCCAGGTCACTGATGAGCTGGGCCAGTTCGTGCTTGTCATGCTCGTCCTCCCCCCCCACCCCCAGCGTCCAGCACATCCTCACACTCGAAGCTCATGGCCCTCTCCTCCTCCTCCTCGCCCTGCTGGTCCTCGGTGATGGAGCCCAGTTTGGGGGCGCTGCGGCTCCTCTCCACCGGCGGCTTGTAGCAGCATTGTCCATTGAGGAGTTTGCGGAGGGGGACCAGGGGGATGTTGTGCTCCCCGATCAGCTGCTGCTGCTGGTGCCGGGCGTCCTCCCTCCTCTTCAGCCTCTTGAACTCGGCCAGGGCGTTGGCGGAGGTCTGGTAGAGCAGCAGTGCCATGGCCTTGGCTTTCTCGGGCTTGGAGACCAGCACGGCATGGCAGCGCAGCATCACCGCCTTGTGCTTCATCTCGTGCCGGTAGATCCAGGCGAAGATCTTGGGCAGGCGGGGGTCGGCCACACAGTAGGTGACCCGGTGCAGCAGGTAGAGGTGTCCGGGCCGCTTGGCTTTGTCCTCCACGTGCACCATGCGGATGCCCTGGGCGCTGACCGTCAGCTTCATCTTGGTGCCATGCTTGCCCATCTCGCTCTTGCTCCAGATCTTACACACGGCCAGGTCGGTGCAGCCGTCGCCCTTGGACTGCAGGGTGGTGGCGTTGCCCAGGTAGAGCACGGTGTAGGTCGGGTCCTCCCCGGTGATCTTGATCTTCTTCCTCTTGGATTTGAACATACTGCCTACCCTGGTCAGAGCCCCCTCCGGGCACGACTTGGCCAGGGAGGTCAGGGCGCTGTAGTTCAGGCTCACCGCATAGCCCTTCTGTTTGCTCTGCTTGCTGTCCTCCTCGATCAGGTCGAACTTGCTCTTTTTCCAGGGCAACATGTCTGTGTATGGGAGGGAGAGGTGTGATCGACAAGGAGATCGTCCTCACAGCATCGCCTCGTGTAGGGGAGAGCTGTCACTGCACACCGATGGCCAGCTCCTCTCCGACAACCTCCTCTGCCGGGGCTCCCCCTTCCCATCTCTGAGCTCTAGCGCTGGGCTCTGCTACATATAGCTTGGAACAAACCATCGCCGTGTACACAGCAGGGGAGGCCAGCCAATGGAACGAACTACTCCCCATTAACCCTCTGCTTACCATTGAGAACACACAACACCTAGCAGCTGTCTTCTTTTACAACCCTAGGAAGAGGAACTAGAATGGACATCAATTAAAGCTAATCAGTGAAAAGGTACACAGGTCATATGAGCTGACAATCATGAGTGTTATCAGACAGAGCTGGGAAATGCTAGGATGGGATCCAAGGGCGCAAGTCCTCATGGCAGAATTGGGAAATACTAAGATGAGGTCCAAGGGCGCAAGTCCTCATGGCAGAGCTGGGAAATGCTAGGACGGGGTCCAAGAGCGCAAGTCCTCATGGCAGAGCTGGGAAATGCTAGGACGGGATCCAAGGGCGCAAGTCCTCATGGCAGAGCTGGGAAATACTAGGATGGGATCCAACAGCAAAAGTCCTCATGGCAGATTGGGAAATGCTAGGATGGGATCCAGGAGCACAAGTCCATGGCAGAGCTGGGGAATACTAGGATGGGGTCCAGGAGCGTAAGTCCTCATGGCAGAGCTGGGGAATACTAGGATGGGGTCCAGGAGCACACGTCCTCATGGCAGAGCTGGGAAATACTAGGATGGGATCCAAGAGCACAAGTCCTCATGGCAGAGCTGGGAAATACTAGGACGGGGTCCAAGAGCGCAAGTCCTCATGGCAGAGCTGGGAAATACTAGGATGGTCCAAGAGCACAAGTCCTCATGGTATTTACTAGGATGGGGTCCAAGAGCACAAGTCCTCATGGCAGAGCTGGGAAATACTAGGATGGGTCCAAGAGCACAAGTACTCATGGTATTTACTAGGACGGGGCCCAAGAGCACAAGTCCTCATGGCAGAGCTGGGAAATATCAGGATGGGATCCAAGAGGGGAAGTCCTCATGGCAGAGCTGGGAAATACTAGGACAGGGTCCAAGAGCACAAGTCCTCATGGCAGAGCTGGGAAATACTAGGATGGGCTGCAAAAGCACAAGTCCTCATGGTATTTACTAGGACAGGGGTCCAAGAGCACAAGTCCTCATGGCAGAGCTGGGAAATACTAGGATGGGATCCAAGAGCGCAAGTCCTCATGGCAGAGCTGGGAAATACCAAGATGGGGTCCAGGAATACAAGTCCTTATGGCAGAGCTGGGAAATACCAGGAAGGGGTCCAAGAGCACAAGTCCTCATGGCAGAGCTGGGAAATACTAGGACGGGATACAAGAGTAAAAAAATTTAAAGAATCAAATTTCGTCATAAATGTAGGCCAAGATGTATTCTGCTACATGTCTTTGCTAAAAAAAAAAATCCCAATACATGTAAATTAATTGGTTTACGTGAAAGTTATAGTGTCTACAAATGGCAGTATATGTACTGGAATTTTTTGTTTCTTACTAGTAATGGCGGCGATCAGCAATTTATAGTGGGACTGTGGCTGGCATTCTGACACTGGGGGGGAACTGATTTGGTGTCACTGACATACCCAGTGACACCAGTACAGTGATCAGTGCTAAAAAAAAACACTGACACTGTACTAATGGCACTGGGCAGGAAGGGATTAACATGAGGAGCGATCAAAGGGTTAACTGTGTGCAGGGAGTGTTTTACTAGGGGGCGGTGTCTGAGTGCTGCACTGTAATTACACTGCTTTGGATGGCTGTATTGAGCACATCCATCTGGAGCAGCGTGCCCAAGCTGACAGGGAGGAGGACTGTTAGTAAATAAAACAGTCCTTGGAGATCTTCGGAAACTACTGGGTGCTGCGAGTAATTACCGGCTGGGGCCGGGTGATTGACAACCGTGGCCGCGAATGGCGGTGCGGGTAGGACACTTGTGCCCCCTACCCGGTAATGTAAAATCACATATACTGTATATATATATATATATATATACACGTGATTTTACGCACCTGTGCCGCCCTGTAGTAGCAGTATTTCTGCTATAGGGTGGCACGAAAGCGGCTAAAATGATAGTAAATGTGCAAAAAAAAAAAAACAAAACCTTACCTCCCTGCAATGTAATGTCATAATGTGAGAGTGTGCATTGCATGCTAGCACATTATAAAGGACTTACCTGAAAACGAAGCCCTCCAGCGGTACATTGACCCAAAGGGTTGAGACACAGATGGTGTGAATCAGCCTCATAGCTTCGGTCTGTATACCCGAGATAGGGGCTTCCAATAAGCAAATCTGCACAGACAAGTGCATCGGGGTATCTGCTACAGTGGAGGCCACTTCAGAAATTTTACGCCACACCAATGAAAGGCCGGGACAGGCTCAAAACGTATGCCAGCAAGGCCGCAACCCCGGAAGCAGAGGTGAGACGCTCCTGGAAACATGATATGTAGTCTAGAGGGGGTATAATACCAAGATTGCCTTAATTTTTTGAGACTTCCTCTCACTTCTGTTTTGGCAATGGGACAGGAAGTGAAGGTAAATCTCCCCAAAGAGACACAGATGACAAAAAATAAATGGACAGGGGTCATAACCCTTTCTTACTCTATCCAAAACGAAAAAAAAAAGTTTTGCCTATAGTTCTGCTTTAACTGTGGTTTTTTTCCGCCCTTGTGAATAAGCTAAACTAGTTTAAAAAAAGAAAAGTCTATTGAAGTATTTATACTTAAAGCAAAATTTGACCTAAAATAAGGAGTTTCACTTTTCTCCCTCCTCTACTACTTCTGGAAGTTTATTTCTGACAGATACCTGCTCCCAGTTTCGAGAAGAGCGGAAGTTCACCTTCGCCACACGCAACCTCATTGGACACATCACAAGTCCCAGGAGGCTGCAGGACCACCCAGAATGCACAGCGCATCTCACGTATGAACAGTGGGGAGCCGGTTGTGCAACAGTAAGAATTCACAGCCTGCTTCCCACAAGCAAAATGATAGTACCAGGGATCCAAAAAACATTCAGCCATAGTTAGACATTTGCACTCCAGAAATTTTCATTTCATTTCAGATGCATTAATTCATTGAAGAATTTTGTTTTGTCACATTCATTATGTTAAACCAATTCCTTTTCAGAATTTGTTTCGAATAATTGTTGGCCCCGATGGATTAAAAAATGTTTGCAGTTTTTCAGACGATTTATATATATTTCAGGTGCATTTGATATTCATATATCAAAACTATTCAGAGAGAGTCAATATTTTCTAACGCAGCAGAATGAATAATGCAAATTTCAGCAGCTCCAAATTTTTCAAACCTAAGAATTGCATTAAACTATGGAACTCAACTGACTGACTGTGACAATTACAAATTCAATTTAAATCACAAATGTACTCGAAGCTGAATTATCAAATTAATTCAAAAATTGAATTAATTTCCCCATGGGACTGAACTATTATCGTATCATGTAACATCATCCGAATGAAACATTTTGTTGGATTTGTGACTATGTCTTCTCAGATGATTGTACTGTATACATCCAAATCTCTGAAAATCAAATTTTCATCCGGAAATTGATTCATTATGAAACAAAATACAAATGTCTCGCAGTGGTAATAATACACTGCTAAATGTTTCACTTCACTGGGATCAGTATAGACTGTGCACTGTTCTGAGGTCTCCCTTATATTATTTCCCCTTTTGGTTGAATGTAGTTCTCCCTTATATTATTTCCCCTTTTGGTTGAATGTACAGTAGTTAGTCTACAGTTAGTCTATTTTCTCTATAATAATGAATGATCTTTAACTCTTATGCTCTTGCAGCTATTTTTCTCTTAGGACCCAATGTTAGGAAGTGTAACATTTGCCCAGAAAGAGGCAACAAAGAAACTATTACACACATATTACAAACATTATGGGTATTATTTGGTACATATGTGTGAATGATAAGACATTCACAAAGCAAATTTTTCTTTAAGTAGACTCTGTATTTTATCAGCTTAGTAAGTAAAGGATCATCTATTTACAAAATAAGATGTGTCACGAAAAAAACCTGCCAAAAATGTGTCAAACTTAGATCCAGAGGAGAAAGAAATGGAAAACTAAAGGGCTTTATAGATGTGTTTGGCCCTTCACTAGCTTTTATACTCTAAAGCCAGTGAAGTATTATTAAATAATTGGACTGCGTAAGTAAAACAAACTGTCATGTGACCAGCTCTCCTCCAACCACGGAAATCTCTCCACTGTGTTAAGCAAATGAATTCAAGCTTTGTCCAGCATCTTGCATATGAATAGCTCATAAAGCATGGACAAGATATGTATTAACAGGCAGAATATAATGGCAACACCCATTCATCCTAGAAGGCTGTGGATATGCTGTGAGTGCTGGGCGCCATTAATCCTGCATCATTGAGGAACACCCACTGCTGGAAGAAGATCCAAAGAGGACCCTGTGCATCATGTAACCAGCCTGAACACATCTGGAAAAATAAGCATAAAATACACTCAGGGGCCTCGGTGGTCACTGGTGGTCACTCAGAGGGAGTTTGATAACTGGAGTTGGGCTTAAAGGCCCAATAGCTGACTAAATCCACATTCAGTATGATTAACCCCTCCATGTTGGATGGTAAAACAAATCTTAATGCCTCAACACAATTTTGCAACTTTGACGTGTTAGTAGAACTGTACATATCATCACAGCTGCTTAGTGGATGCAGCTGAATTATACCTTGTTTTTTTTTCAGGAAAATTGGGCCTTCATTTGGTGGTAAATGTTAACCCTTTGGTGGCATGTGTACACATATATTAGGGATGCACCAATACCTTTTTTGTTCGGTGAGTACAAGTACCGATACTTTGCGTTGCGATTTGCGAAGGCAGGTGGGTGTCTAAGATGCAGGAGGCTTCTGATGCCCAGCTT